CCTGGGCAACGTATACTCATACGGCAAAACAGTCTATTAAGTTGACTTCTGACTTAAAACTACCATGACACATAAAATTAGATTTTGAGAAATGTAGTGATTAGTTTGGTTATCAAACGATGTGGAAGAACCGATTTAGTTTCTCAACATTCTGAAATTTGTCGCAAAATATATAAAAAGTCGATAGGAAAGGAACCTGCAGTTAGAAGGCCAATTTTACAATAAAACTGTTCTTTAAATAGTACTTAGCAAAAGTCCCCGGTGTATGACACGTTAAATCGTATTTTTTAATGAATAAAATAATCAATCACTTGAATGGAGAAGAATACAATCCTGTCGTATTATTTAAATTGAGAAAAATTTAAATCAACAATACCTTCTAAAGACGTATTCGTGTTAGGAAATATGGCATTATACTGTTATTACGGGAGCCTTCATGTGGTGCACCCTGGGCAACGTATACTCATACGGGAAAACAGTCTATTAACCGGCAGTTGACTTCTGACTTAAAACTACCATGACGCCACTGTATTCCATATTCGACCACTTCAACAGTACTCGTCTTACTGTTTCTCTGAATTTGTGTCTGTCTATGTCTCTTATACATCTGTAAATCATTATTCTGTTTCCAAACTCTCTACTTTTTGTCACTTTGATGTTCCTCCCCCTTTCTGTCGTCTACAGGGCTTATGATCACTACCATTAAGCCTTCCATTTGATATAAATAAATATTATTAATATGCTATGTTATAGAAAAAGGGGTTTAAATATCTAGATCTTGTGACCTCCGGTCCAACTCACTTGCTCATTAAAACTGCACCACAAGAGAACAAGATCCCGAGTCAACTTCATTACTTCATCCTCTGGGTGGCCTATTTCTAATAAATTTCTGATTTGGCCACGTATCTTCACATATTGTTGCAGAAAACAACTTGTCAATTCGCTGTTTATTTTTTTCTGGGCAATAATTTGTGCATAGAATGTTCATAGGTGCACTATTTATTGTCATGACGAATTAACTAATGTGTCTAAGGATGATTTAACTAAGCGCTCATAATCTTGCATCATAATTCCTACTGGCTCTGCCATTAGGTTAATGAAATATTTTTTTACAAGCAATCTATTTTTAAAATATTTTGATGGGTGTAAATCCCTTTTATAACCACTGTTCTTAGTTATTTCATAGTTTTTCATTTTACCTACTCAGGACTCGATGGAGATGTGCTCCCTTCTTCATATTTTGATGACGTTAGTATGCCCGAAATACTTCAGAAATTTTTTTCTCCTTTATTGTCGTACGCGTTAAAGGAGTAATTTTCGACTTGTGTCATTTTCAGTAGAGATCTAAGTACTTAAATTCAATCAAACATAAATAACCTATCTCGCGCTAAAATCAACCTTATTTTGATTTGGCATGTTCTGTTCCTAATTTAATTATTTGGAGCGATTAAGTTAATGTTGGCAAATATTACATTTTTCAATATGACAGAAATCTGTTGTGGCGCAAGCTAAATGTGAAATATTTAATTGTCTGAAATAAGTAAAAATTGACAATTCAACAAAGGTCAATGATGACTGTTTTTGATGAGAGGACTGATTTCTTTCTTTCCTCACACATTCTTCCGACATATTCATGCCGTTTTAAACAAAAGAAAATTTTTTCCCGACATTTTATAATTTTGATATTTCTGAGATAGGATTATAAATTAGCCTTAACGGAACTCAAATATTTGAAGAAAAAAGTCGTTATGTTGATTTAACTCTTGAGTTGCGTTTATTAATGGAAAATCTTCAGCTTAATTCAGACAATATGTAAATATTCTTTCCACCTTAGATACTTGTTTTATTTAACCTTCTGCAGCCTTCAAACCTGATGAACAACATTTTCAGGTGGTGAGAAGCACATCCCTAACTCGGTTGAACCAAAGGATATCATACGCACTAGAGCATTCTGAAGGTAGAGTAGTGCCGCTTATCACATAGGCATCAAGTGTGGCCGTGATGCCGATCAGGTTAGGTAATGTGCGTGGCCGTGAGCAGCCAATCAATACTCAAGACATGGTCAACGTAAATTGAATTTAATGACTAAGCTCTGTGGTCTGCAGTGTGCAAAAGGCTTTAAAAATAATAAACAATTTAAATGAAGAGTATCAGTGTAGTATTACTATTACGCTAACACAGCAAGGCAGCATGAAAATCCGTTCAAATTTGCAAGAGTAAAAGTTTATATTTATTTCAAATGGCAGGCGTTATGATAGGTATCATTAGCCCTTTATAGTTGACTTCACAGAAAGGAAGAGGAACACCAAAGTGGCAAAAAGTCGAGAGGGGGGACAGAATAATGATTCGCAGGTGTAAAAGAGTCAGACAGACACAAATTTAGAGAATAGGTAAGACGTGTACTATGGAAGTGGTCAAATATGGAATACAGTGGCGTCATGGTAGTTTTAAGCCAGAAGTCAAAAGCCAGTTTATACATTTTTTTTTCGTATGGGTATATGTTGCCCAGGGTGCACCACATGGAGGTAAGTCTATCGCACACCTCTTCTCAGAACAATTAATATCTATTCACATATCTTGGCATCCTGAGTAACTGAAACCCATTTGAGATGAGTGGATTTTTCATTTGGCTTTTTACCTATGAGAATCAAAAGATAAATTGGGGTTAACGATTTAAAGTCTTAACTCAAACTCGTCATGATGGCGTAGAGTAAAGCAGCCTCATGGATTAACTGGTTACCCAAAGGCTGTTAAAAACCAATTTTCATCTCTATCCCAAAATACTAAATTAAAATAGGCCACTACTGCCAAAGGAATAAATAGCTTATTCAAAATTAATTTTTTCGTCTGGAAAAAATTTTAACATAACAATAGTTATCTTTCACTTTTAGGAATATCTAATCAATTGCCCCACTTTCAACGCTTGCATGTTTGTCTCCTTTGCTGCAAGAAGGTACAAATGGAGCCAGATGTGTGACTACATGCGGCTGGTCGGAATATTCTTAAATCGCAGATGTGAATAAGCTGCAACCCAGAATTTGAGCCTTATGCAACATTGCGAAGCGTATCATGATCCTGTTTTTTGTTAATTTGAAGGCATTTAAACTCTTACCTAATTATGCTCTCATTTTTGCTACTCTTTCGATGAACAGTTTCGTTATCTGCTTTTATCTTTATTATGGACTTCACTTAGATAGGGCATGCAAATATGAAAGGGCATTAATTCCCTAAGGTGTGTGAAAGGTGAAAATATGTTCTAAGAAGCATGTATACATAGAATAAGGGATGACAGTCAATTAGTCAACTATAATAAAATTTTCCATAAAGAAGGACAGACGACTAAATGCCTTCACTGTACCAAATACCTCGCCAAACTCCCTACTTGTTATTTTTGATTAGTTTAAACAAAGGAAAGAGATGTACTTTGGTTTGGTTAGGTAATATGTATGCCAAAATCTAAATTTTTTGCCGCTCGCAACATAAATGTCTTTGTGACTATGGGAACTTGTCAACAGTTGACTCAGAAACAGAAAAATAGTAACCTTTAGATCTTTTAACAAAGGTTAAAACGTCAAGCCGTGGTAGATAGTTTTCATTTTAGTTATTCGAACAAACTATCTTTAAGAAGTTTACAAACTTATGAATATTAAGTTTGCATCCAATATAAATCATGGATTAATAGCGCCTGAAATGTTGGTCTTTTAGCATTGATTAAATAACATCATAAAATATACAGTTACGCGTGATAAATTAAATCGCTGTCAGGTAATTAAAAATGATTCATTCAGAAGAGAAGTAATGTTATCAATTTAAGGCAAGAAAAACATACTTTAATTTTCCCGAAGTAGAGAGTGATTGAAGTTTGGAAAGAGACATGTAAATTATTAATCATAAAAGGGTCTAATATTGCGTATTATTCTACAAAACTCAAAAAATTTCATGTGACTAAACAAAATTTTGCAATGGGCCATAAAATGGTGTAAAATAAACTGTTAAAGAATCCGATTGCCCTGCATTGATAATTTCTTCACATCCGTAATCGGATAGAATTTACTTCGATTCTAATGCCTGAATTAGTGGGATAAAATTTATTATATCAGCAGAAACTTACATGCTTTTAAATACCGAGACAAGAATTCAAAAGTATAAATTATTCATAGTTTGGAGGCAATTAAATGTTGACATCAACTGGTACTAATATAGTGTAAAATATCATTCATGTTAACTTCAATAGCATCATTTACTCATTAGCTTTCATATTCTCAAAATTATTTGAGTGGCAATTGAAACTCTTCATAATTAAATTTATTTAATAGTCTTCCCGATCATAAGAAAATCTAACGTGTTAATATAGGCAATGGAAACGCTGTTTGGTTTTTATAAGCAGACCGCATGGCACGTAATATCAATATTAGATAACAGTTCAGGAAGAAAGTTTTGCTAATATCAGAGTTACAAATTATGTATGCATTTCATGTCTATCAAATATATGTAATATCTCGTCGGTTGTTAAAGAATATCTTTTCACACCAAAAACATTGAGGTTAAGCTAAATTTATTCAATGAGCAAACACCAAAACGAAGTTTTCCTGAATTAAAATATTGAAATTACAATTTGCTTCACAGAATAAATTTGGTCGATGAAATGTAATCCAATTTTACTAAATGCGGTTTTAGAAAATAAAAAAACTCTCGCATTAATTAATTGAAAGTACATATACGTTTATGTTAATTCACTTGCAGATATTTGTAAATTTTTATAAACTCAAATTTCATTGGTCTGTAGAACGACCTTCATTTATATGTTCATTTCCTTTGCTTAGTTATCTTAACTATGGAAGATCTAGTTCGAAAATTTCAGTGTCTTTCTCAGGAGTGGAACAAAAAATGCCACGATTTGGCTATATGCCAAAAAAGACTTGAAGACCTGACGGTAGGAATGTCTTGAGTTCTTATTTTGTAGTTGGACTTGACAAAGTTTTGCTATATGCCAAATCAGGAAGCATCCGCCACTAAGAGGGAACTGCTAATAGCACGTAATCTCTTTCATTTATTATTATCTTGAAGGTGACACCCTGGAAATCGGTGCGATATTGTCGCTTGAAAAGCGGGATATGCCTGCTTTTGAGCGCTATATGTCACAGCTGAAATGCTACTACTGCGATTACAAGTTCGCTAACACTTTTGTTTTTAAATGCAATTTCTAGAGCCAATTTGCCCGATTCTCCGTACAAATATGAACTATTTGGATTAAATTTATTACGACTGTTAGCACAGGGAAGGCTTGCAGAATTCCACACAGTAATTTATTGCAGTTTGACTTATCCACCTCTAGGAAGTAGAACGTCTATCTTCAGATGAAATTAACTTGAACCCTTACATTAAACACCCTCTTTCAATGGAACAGTACTTGATGGAGGGAAGCTTCCACAAAGTTTTCCTCTCCAAAGGAAATGTCCCCTCAGAGCGGTACAACTATTTCATCGATATTCTTTTGGCTGCTACAAGGTAATGAGGGTTTAATTGCGTTGATTTCGTTATTACAGGGATGAAGTTGCTTCTTGTATCGAAGTTGCTTATGAGGAGCTCTCTGTTGAAGAGGCGACTAAATCTCTTTTCTTCACCCAACCCGAACAAATGAAAGCCTTCGCAAAACAAGTAATTTCGTTATTAATTTGGCTTAAATATGTATTTTTTAACTTAGCGTCAATGGACTCAAGTTGATGGAAAATATATATTTGCAAAGACGAAGCAAACAGAACACGCGTTACATGCTGAAGACCTCACAAAAATACTCCTCCACTATACTCACGAACTGGAACAAATTATATAAACTGTGCTTACGTGTGTGCATTTTGTTAATTTATCGACTTTCGATACGGTGCCTCCGTTATTCTATTGCGGGTTGATTATAGAGTGCGATCTTTTGTGTGTCGCGGTTTTTTATACTTGACTTTAACTTCTCGTGCATTTTGATTAGTCAGATTGCTTTCTCTGCCAGTTTTCCATGTTAGTCCACCAGGTAATAATTTTATAAGCAGAGCCTTCCAAGTCTAATGTCTGACGGATATTCAAGTTAGGAATTCCCTCCTTCTCACCTCTTGGCCAATTTTGATCATTAGATTTCAAGTTGTTATTCTTAATTTCGATTAGATACTCCAGACTAAATAACGTCGACCTCCGGTTCTTTAGTTTTTTGCATTCACTTCTAAGTTACTGTTCAAAGTCCATTAAGACACAGAAGCTAATATTTTAGAACCCCGAATGAATAAGACAGGTTTATTATCAAAAATATATGAATATATCGAAGCTTAAACACACAACATCAATAATCTTCCAAGTCTTGGGAGTGTTCCAACCGGTCACCAAGTAGGGTCTCCAAATCTCTTCATAATGCCAACGTGCTCATCCAAGTCTGTTCTTACCTTTGTACGCATGTAGAAGATAGGACAATCTCGACTAGAAAATAAGAAAATGTCTTCAAGCTAGATTACTGCAAATATAGGAGTAGATAAAAAATTTTGATAGCAGATATTAAGCTACTAGAGCAAGCCATTCAGTAGGCTAACCTGGTGCATATGACTTCTTCGTGAATACTGCCTTGGCAACGCTGACATTCAGTCCACAGACGCGAAAATCTGGCTTCAAGGGTACGCAATCTCTCTACCTCCTTTTGGTAGATTTCTGATTCTCGTGGTTTACAATAAGTGCACAATGCTTCAGCTGAAAAGAGAATATGATGAGAGAGAGCTCAGAAGTGTATGCATGGAAGGCATGGAGTGAAAATGAAGGAGGCTTACCTTCACGATCCTTTGGTAGAAGGGCCTTGCAGCCGATACATGTCGCACGTTTTTGAGTGAAAGCTGATAGCTGGCCTACCTTTGAGTGGACCACTGACTTTACTAGTGTATGTTCACCGGCTGAAAGGAAACAAAGATGATAAACGAGCGCATGGATAGAGCAGAGATCTATTCCCAGTCAAGAGACTAGCAATGACTCCAATCTGTGTCAGTCCCACTATCCTCACCTTTGCTAAGATTTAAAACAACACAAAATCAGACACAAAGGGTCTTTATTGATGGTTTCGCCTTAAAAACGGTGATTGACGAATTTAAGTGATAATATGCCTTGAAAAATTATACACCCTACTATATTGAAGTCATCAAAATTTTCGAAATATATATAGGTGTAGAAGAATTCGAGTAAGCCCAATCTATTACAAAACAATAAACGAGAAAAGAACATTCGCAAAATTAATTTGCATGCTTGTTTAAACCACTAGTCAATAATTCAGAAGAAGTCCCTAACTTGTACGAAACCTATGCACAATGATGGCAGGTACATATATATATATATATATATTGCCGACGAAGTTAGCCGAAACGTTAGACTTTTGTAGGGATTTTGGGATATTTCGGTACCGCCAAGTACTTGGTGGAAGATGACTTAAATCCATGTGGAACTGGAACTGCAAAGATTTGCAAAGTGGATGACAATCGTAAATACAGTTGTGGTTAAAACCAGGTGAAACATTTCACACGATTGGTTCTATATGGCTACTAGATGATACATTTATTTCAAATGGCAGGCTTTGACACCATAAGCCATTTAGCTGACTTCGGGCTTCACAGAGGGGAGGAGGAAAATCAAAGTGAAATAAAACGGAGAGGGGGGGGGCAGAAGAGGGATTGAAAGAAGTAAAAGAGACAGACAGACAAAGGTAGAGAAAAGGTAAGATGAGTACGGTATAAGTGGTGGAATATGACATGCAGTGGGGTCATAGTAGTTTGAAATGAGAAGTCAACTGCTAGTTAATAGACGCTGCCCAGGGTGCACCACGTGGGGGTAAGTCTATCGCACACCCCACTAGATGGCAAATATAGTTAAGAAAAGATCACTACCTTCAAAAGCAAACAACTTCGTATTTTAATAGGGCATAAGCCAAGCTCAGTCTGCTTTAACCTGAAGGTCTTTAGTTCATCAATGATGTTGACTAAATGGAAAAAAAGAGAGAATAACAGACGCAGATAGTATTCGATGGAGTGGTTACCGTAACCAGTCAAATTGAAAGTTTCGTGTTCCAAACACCTCATAGTCAATATAACAAAACCCTAAGCCAATGGGATAGTAAATCTGAAGGAATAAACGATGAATTTCAAGATATTACCGAACAGACTTACTTAGTAGGGCCGACCTCGCCTTCGCTTCCCCAAGAATAGGCTCAAAGATTCTCATAAGAGGATTAGCAAGCTGATTCTCCAAATAATATTTGGCATCAATGGGTACATTGTGTTGTAGAACATAGAGGGGATCTTCCGCCTTGAGATAAGCAGCGGTATTTTTACCTCCCACTGCAGTGATGACGTAAGGCACACGATCCCCCAACTGAGGTGCTGATCCGGGATCACGACGACGCATCTTATTGGCCAACTCGACGTGAGCCTGTTTACCCGAGTACTCCTCGTCGGTTTTTGTCAGCTCCTTGCTTATCACCAGCTGGGCAATATCGATCCGGTTGCAGAGAAGATCTGAGATGGTGCGCTGAGCGTAGCTGACAGCTGCACTTGGATCTCTGCAATATAAATTAGAATAGAATTTAAGCGGTTGTCAACCACAGAGGAAGTCAAAGTAGGGTGGGTAAGCACAGGCAAGGAAGCATACACGCTAACAAGTAGACTATTGTGGAAGTAGAAAGTGAATCATGTCCCTTCCTGGGTTAGAAAAGATTGGCCATAGAGGTGGCCATTTACTCTCACTTTTGTCCACTTTATCTGTTTTTTGTCTCTAGCACACTGAAGTGGCAGTTGAAAAATCCAAAGCCGATTCCCGAGATTGTTCCTAGAGGATCTATTATCCTTACTAAATGTGAGCTCAACCCGCTGATGAGAGCAAGACACCTATTTGGGACATTAACAGTTATCCGGTGATGCTTTACTTTTCAGTCATTAACAATATGAAGCTGCTTTGTATCCATATTTAGCATTGGTTAATTTAACTTCTGTAGCGATGAGTTCTTTCAAAGGAACTCGACAGAAACTGATTATACGCCTCCCCCCCCCCCCCCCCCCCCGCCATAGAAACATGCTATCATAATCACAGTGTAGACATAAATGAAGACGTGAAAGAAGAGAGCAACCTGTTAATGAGAATAAGCTCGAGACAAGCATTGACAAGATTTGCCACAAGAGGACTATTATCACGTCTCACTGTCTCAATACCCTTGCAATCCATCTTGTCAAATTTGTCTGGCTTGGTATAATAGAGACCCGCGTAGCGTTTCTTATTAATTAGAAGATATGGGAAATACACCTACAAACAAAAAAAGAAGCTAGATATCTTTATCAAATTTATCAGAAGGTATATTAAAGCGTACCTTCTCGAATTCCAGTTTAATTGGGTTAGTAAACTTGCTGGAAATGTATTCTGCACCCTCACGACCCAATTCCATAGCTTCCGCGACTGTGGAAACCCCGAATTTACACATTACGGAATCTGTATCACCGTATATTACCTACATAAATTATTACAGTAATTAGCTAAATGAGATACAATGAGATTCTAACGCACCAGAGCGTTGTGCTTGTAACCGTTTGATATTGTGAACTTTTCTTCAACATGACGTTTAGTCTCCTCGATCATTTCACGACCAAATCCAGTGATAGAACCAGAAATCTCCAAACATGGAAGTTTTCCCACTTGGGCTCCTGTGAAACCATAGACAGAGTTGGCACTAACCTTCAGGGCCAATTGACGACCGTCCAAAACACGACGTTTAAATGGATCTGTTTCCGCAGCCAACTCCGATTTAGCTCTGAAATAGAAAGAGAGCAAATGTGAATTTTCGTTCATGGAAAAGGTTTTAATCAACATAAATACAATTGATATTACCGTAACTACAATGTCTTTTAAATTAATAAAATGGTCAAAGTAACTGCCCTTCTGATCTATCGAGGTCAACTCAGGGTCTGAGTCAACTATTGGCCCGTAATACCTACCAGGCATTTAAATCATTGAGACAGAAACTAGACTTCCAAGGATTACAACAGTGATCAAATGTCTTCCTACGATGACATTCTTCTTCCGCAACGCTAGAGGAATAACTCGAAGAGTGAATTCATATGCATTGTAAATTTTTTTTTAACTTTTATCATCTATGATCTCTGGGGTCTAATGTCTCGGATTCGCAGTGACAGTTGAGGCGTTCGACCCTCAAGACCGCCACCAAGTTTCACAGTGATACTTGAAGCTTTCAATACTGCGGTGACACCACCATAATTGGAAGTGCTTGAACGCACATAACTAGATTTCGGTTTCCCCTATCAGTGATGTATGGAACGGCTCCACCTATCTATGTAGCTTTTTCTCTATGATGGAATATAAAACTACCTTTAAAAAACAGAGACAAATGTCTGTCATTTATTTATTAGCACGGCTTTCTCTCAAAACATTCAGGCCCTCTCTCTCTCCCTCTCTCTCTGTGACATCTTAACAGCCGTGACCCCAACAATTATCAAAATAAACAAGCTATTTTGATTGAGAAAATAGAGTCCCTTTTTATCAAATGATGATATTCTCAAAGTGTAATGCATTAAACGGAAACCTACTTCTTCCTAGCAGCTAGAAGCTGTTCAAGAATCAGTGGGAGCAGACCTTTTCTAATATGCTTCTTTACGAAAAACGATCCCGTGGGGGTTTTGATGTAATCATCTGGACCGAGCTCATACTTTGAGCAGAGATTACTGATCCCACCGGCAGCGGAAATATCCTCCGGTCTGAGCAAAGTTGTATAACAGAGATTGTGTGCTATCATGATACTTGGATATAGACTAGAGAAGTCTAGCGTTGCTATTGGTTCATTGTAAAAACCTCGTCGAGGTTCGATAACCGTAGCTCCAACATACTCATCCCCGTGTCCTGGTACTTGAGTAGGCAACAAGAGACCGTGCTCTTTTGCTTTACGCAGGAGTTGGGAGATAACCTTAACTTGTTGACCTCGTCTGAGGAGATAGGTTATTGGGACACCAGTTACGCGGGCCATTTCCACATTATGGGCTACAGACATCAGCTTGTCTAGTAAACGCAGAGGAAGGTAAGCGTCTTTGAGACAGTAGACGGCTAGACGCCTCCGTGTCTGCTCATTACCGTTTTGGAGATCTGTAATGACACTGTGGTGAACGTCTTCCTTTTGCTCTTGTAGGAAGTGATAGCTCACGGCGTTCAGTGTGTAGCTTCTCAATTTGTAATCTCTCAGGAGCACCTGCATTTGGAAAACACTACTTATTAAAAATGTGGCGGTCAAACTCTAGAGATCAGTAGTTGTGAAGAAAGTGTAAAATGTCTTGATTACCGATATTTTGCGTAAGAAGTTTACCAACACGTTTAACCTTCCATGCTGTGGCTTTGCGCACCACTTTTCTCCCAACAAGTACCGTCAAAAATTTCAGCTACCCAGCTGTGCAACGGAGGTCTTCAAAGGACTAGCATTTAACCTTATTTTCAATATCATTTACATCTAGGTTGTATTGAAATTCATTGAAATTAGAAATGACGCCGGTATAAAATTTCTTACTAGCACAAACCACCGTGAAGCAATAACATTCCACAACAGACAATAGCTTCATTATTTTGAGTTGCATAGTATAGACCCCGGGAGGGTTTCGCCTAAAAATATGGTCTAAACAGATAAAACTAATTAACTCCCTAATCAGTTAGTGAATGCAAAGTACCTGGAGCAGATCAAATTGAATACGACCATCGATTGAGACATATTTGTTCTCTCGTCGACCCATCTGCTTCGATTGGATCATACTCTCCTTCACGAGTGACTTGGCTCCAAGAACTCGGCCCAAGAAGGGGAAGGAGGTGATTTTGAGATGATTACAACGATTCACCAAGTATGGCAGATCAAAATTCTGCATGTTGTAACCTGTGATCATATCCGGGTCGACCTCACGCACAAATGATGCCCATCTCTAAACAATGACATGGATGATTAGAGGACGGAACTTACAGAAAGCATCTCCTCCTCAGTTGTACAACAGATAACATGAGAACCAACTATCGGTGCACAAGTGTTTAGGGTAAAGACGTTACGAATGAAGGGTTTGGAATGACCGTAATTGATAACCATATTGGCAATCTGGATCACGGCATCGTGTTCTGGCACTGGAAAGACACCTACAAAAATGAAAAGGTATTAGTTCGAAACCAGAAGCATAAATATTTGAGTAAAGTGTCTGAGCCCAACACAAACTAGGACGAAAGGTAATAAATCAGTATGACGTATAAGCAGTAAAATTAATTGAGAGAACCAATGACAGGTATGTGAAGGGACGCATGCACTTAGATATCGATGCTACAAAAAATTCAAATCATGCTAATTTAGTGAATGACATTTGCTCGACCCACCCCATCTCCGTCTTAGATTTCCTTTAACAAGCTTCATTAGGCGATGTTAACACGTATTTGAACAGATTTAATGTCATTCTTAAGACACGAAGAGCTACTAGACCATAATTAAGCCTCGAATCAATTGATGTTTGTACAAAATGGAGGGAAGATGTGGATCTTTTAATGTTGCACTTATTCGATTGGAAGAGAGCAGAGAAAAATTGAAAATTTTCTGCGCTGAAAGGTATAGTTCTCAAGGACTTGATATTCGCATTCTATTTAAAAAGGGTGAACGTATACCAGGTCACAAGATCGATGCTCAGTGATGCCTATCAAGTAATGTTGACAGTACGACCGCATTGATTAATTTTGATCAACAATGCCTCCAAGAGATTAGCGCAGTGGGACACCTTCTCAAACCAAAATTAGGAGCTGAAAAATTTTCTCAAGGGGCTTGAGGACTTTTATTGCGTGATAAATTTGCAATACTTAACCGGTAAATACTTGATCACTACAGGAGACCGCGGGCCTCTAAAAGTAACGAAATTAAACTTATATAAAAAGCCCTATTACTGTGTGCTTAAAATTGACCAAAAGGCAAGAATGGTAAAGACATCTTCTAGCAATGACAATACTGAGAAGCACAAACGATCAGTTAATTTAAGAAAGCTGTAACGCACCCTTTCGACTAGCACATTCAATATCAAAACTGAGGATTCTAATCGACGCGACTTTGCTCCATTCGCCTTCAGTGGAGTAGATTACGAGATCATTCCAGCCAATGTCCAACTCCAATTGGCAACGAGTCTGTCCGGTGGCTGACGAGAGGAATTGGTCAGGAATTTGAAAAAGGCGCGATTTCTTGGGAGAAGACTTCGACGGAGAAGCAAGTTGACTTCTCTGACGCATCAGATACTTCCCTGGAGGGAGTTCAATCCAACAACATCCTGTCATATTGACGTCCACCATAAATCGAGTCTCGAAATCGATATTTGCTTCGTAGGGTGCATAACACTAAAAAACGGATAGAGTCCGTTAATAATGCAAAACATGATTGCCAAATTTAAGGAAACTTAAATAGGCTTCTACATGTATTATTACTCCCAGTGATGGGAGAAAATAGATACACCCATGGCAAGTAAAATTAAAACATATGCTAGATCAAATAGGAAGAATAAGTAGAAATACGCTGGTGGTATTAGCCTCCTGAGTTCCCTCTTAGAGCGTAAATTTCGTTCACCTGCATCATTAGCTGAAGCCTAATTATTTCAAAGGGCAATGATGAAGTCCGAGAAAGGAAGAGTACTCTAGACCAGTATGCAAACGCCTATGTAGATAACATAAGGAAGAAATCTTGTCAGAGTTGAATTTTTGTCGATTATTTGCTAATAAGGTATTCGCTACAACATTGTGATCAGGAAGAAGATCGATTTGATTGGGTCATCATCATAGCCAAAACAGCCAAAAATGCCAATAAATGTCATCAAAGGTGGGAAGTAAAAAGATATGCATACTGTGATAAATCAGAAACAAGATGCTAACAGGAACAAAATCTGGTAAAACTTAGATGTACAGTCAAACATAAGAAATGATAAATCATGTTAACAGCATACTCACCTCCTCGATGATTATCTCTTAAGAGAAGTGATGGAAATGGCAAAAATAAAAATAATGCTTTAGACTGTTTGATAATGTAGGCCCGGGATTACTGAGACACAACACAGAGCTGCCTAACCACCGACAACTGAATATGTCAATTAAGAGCACACTACTAATAGAATACGTTATAGACTAAAGATTGCATATTTCATCAATCCCCTAACCTCCATTTGATGAATCCAATATGTTCATGATTTTCAAAAAAAAAAAACAACGTAAAGCTCTTGAATTAACAAAGATGATAAAACGAATGAATGCAATTAAACGGCCTTACCCAAGATGAAAAAGTACCGAACGAAAATCCGCTTGTAAGCACACGCTTGGCGGCTGCAATAAATCGAGGCAAAGCCACAACTATCTGGATGAACATGGATTTTAAATTGCTGTGGAAACCGAAAATACCTATAAGAATACGTCGGAATGCCAAAATGTAAAAGAATTATAAAACTCGCAATGCACAAATAAGGCCACTAACTCTCTTTTTCAACCAAGTCCACTTTCAGAACCAGATCCTGGATGCCTTCTGCTTGGTTGCCTTTTAGTTCTTTGAGCAATACGAGATTTAACTGTTTTCTGAACTCAGCAAGATGGCTTTTTGAGAAACCTTGAGGAGCAGCCACATAGAAATACGGCATAAAACCGTGTACATGGGCAACAACACTGTTTCCGCTCTCTGTGACTCCGTAGACACGAATAATTGGAACAGGACTGTGGTTAGGTCCAGGCATTTTATCGAGTTTATCGCCCTTATAGAAATCCACATCGATTTGTTGGAAGATAATTTTATCATTGGCAGGATCGACAGCTGGAACGGGAGGTCGGAGCCATGATTTTGGCAAAATCATTTTCGACTCAGCCGTCACTATATCACTTTCGTCCACTAGAATGGATTCATCTAGTTCATCTGCCTCATCAAGCATCATAAGTTCCCTCTCAAATGACGAAGGACCCAAATCGTCTTCTGCATTATTTCTAGCTCCAAGAAAAAATAAAGAAATCGCATAGTGATATGGAAAAATAAACAGGGGAAAAACTCAACTTAATATATGACATAAAAATCGTATAAACCAATACTCACCTGCTGCGTTTCATGTTCGACGATTGACCATTTATTGGACGGAGAGGATTACGATAAGCGCACATTTAGACGGTCTCAAAGCCTATAAACGAAAATAGGTGCACAATTTTAAATATTGTGGATGTTTAAATTCCCCATCATATTGCATTGTTTAACTGTTAATTAAAAAAATATATTCCAGATAAGTTATTTCATCATTTTTCTTTTATTTTGATCTATTAACTATTAAGCAATCCATTCAAATATGGCAAACTTAATCCACAATCTAACAATTCGTTTTTAAATTAATTTGAAATTTATTTATTACAAGAAATTTACGTTTAAGTGTCGCAAATGTTATATTAGGAACAGGGCATTTCTCAAATGCTCGTTTCCCCGTTTGCCTGGTTGGTTGCCTTACATTTGCAAGTGTGCATAAATCTGCCACTAACCTCGCTTCGATTTTTTTATCTAGTTCATTCTATATATTATAAACATGAGCCCTTTGGTGAAAATTTCTCCTGCTGCTTTCCAATCGATATCATTTCACTATAGTATCGACATAACAAAAGAAATTAGAGGAATTTTACTCGGATCAGTTATACAAATATTTATAAATTAATTTTCTGTTAGATTATTAATGAGGACGTTTTTATTATTTCCGTTATTCCACTATCCTCGAGTGCAAATTTCTCCATTGCAGAAATTCAAACGAAATCTGAGGTATTTGCTTAGTTCTTTGTTACAATGTCAGGATCTTGGCCGTATCATTAAATCTCCACTTCAAATTGTTGGCTGGTATCACTCCCACAATGAACTTGGACTAACGTTAACGGAAGAAGATGTAGAATTTCATTTAGCATTTCAAGCTAGATTCCCTAATTCTATCGCATTTTTGACTCTCTTTGGAAAAACCTCAACTGACCCCAAGGTATAGTATTCTTGTATAAATTGACTTAGTATAGGTAATGACAACTTCATTTGGAGCTTTCCGTTGTGGATTAAATGATCAGCCCGTTCAACTTCAATGTGCTGTCAGACCACTTAAACATAATGCTTCATCAGATAAATTCTACACCGCTTCGTGTATAGCATTTGATGACATTTTCGAAATCGTTCGAGAAAAGCTGGCTTCTCTTGATATGAGTAAGTTAAATAAGTTGTTGTTACGTATGATAAGTACTTTTATTCATACTATTTGATCAGCTGTACTGCGTTCTTTTTACTTTTAATAAGCGCCATTTCCGTTTTTAGTCGATTTTTTTCATCGCTTTCAATTTATTAATTACTGCCATTCTATAAGACATTAGTATTTTTAGAGTAATTACTGTTTACTAAAGAATACTATAACTATTTACCCATTCATCTTGCTACATGTGTAGATTTTTCGGTTAAAATATGGCGTAACATGGTTTTTTGCACTTTTTTCTTGTCAACGAGTCTCTATGTTGTTTAGTATGGATCAGGAAATTGACTCACTTATCCTGAAATTTGGAGATAATTTATTTAATGCAAGAGGCTAATGTAGCAAGGTTTCCGTTCTCGGGGTGCGCATACCTCGGCTGTTATTTCACTGAATAGCTGGAGAAATTTAACATTGATACCTAATTACTAGCTGTCAACATCAGGGCTGGTCTCCATTAGGTTTATTTGCACTTGCACATTGGTTCTAGATTAGGTTCAAGACTAGTTCGTCTAACAATACTAGCGCATAGAAGAGTTTTACTATGCACTGAACAGTGAAAAAGTATCCTTTTTGAAACCAACTTATCTTCAAGTGTTGGAGAAGTTAGGTCATTGCGAGAAAAATGTGCCAAATTTGCATTTTCATGAAGTATCGTTAGCAATGGTTTATGCTTTCGAATCTTAAGTGTCGTGATTCATTACCGATGAATTTTAAATGGAAAGGAGGTTTTCATCTGAAATTGCACAAGTTGTGGAAAAAGATTACGATATCCAAGATGAATTTTGTTGAAATGTCCATTGCCAATCACAATGCGGAAAGTTCACTTTCATGCTTGCAAAATTACTTCAAAATTAACCTTTTTTAAACTAAGACTTTTGTTGCGCTGATAATTCATATTTCTGCCTTTCTAAATATTGCACGGCTGCCGTTGTCGTCTCGGCATTCAAGAAATTAAGCCGAATTCACTGATACCAAAAGCTCGCTTTACTTACGTAAATGAAAGGGCAGAAATCGCCTTCATGCACTTAATGCCTGGGAGACAAACTAAGCAGGGAATCCTTCAGGGTGGGGGGGGGGGGGGGGGGGGGGGTAATATATATCCGCGTATTGATTAATGACGCGTGTTAATGGATGTGTTATAATAATGGGCAATGAAGAGCTAACAAGGATAAACAAAGCTTGCTTCTCCTATTTTACTTTTCAGAATTTTAGACTTGAGCTCAACTATATTTGGGCTTGTTGGTTGATTTGTTAACTATTACGCTTGCTATTGCCATCTCTCTATATTACAATCAATTAATTAAGAGTAAGGAGAACAACAAAACACAGCTCAAGGCTTCAGTACCTCGGGAAAGTTATTTCCCACAGTTTTTTCTAAGTCACACGAGGACACAAATCCTGGCGACCTGACAGTTATCTACATGACGGTGTGTTCACTTCATCTCTCAAACGGCGTACCAATTTGTTTCTTGTCATTACGAGGTCATTCCATCCCCACAAAACCACTTCCGTTTACTGGCGCCTCTCCCATCTGGTCATTCGACGATTAATAATTTGTTGCCTGTGTCATTGGCTATTGGTCACTTATTTCCGGCTTTTGGATTAGCTGTTTTGTCACTCGCTTTGGGCTTTTATTTACCTAAAGGCTTGTTGCGTAAAAAAAGTTATCTTAATTTCGACTTTTTTTTCCAGCTGAAGTTAATGAATTAGACTTTGGACTCCTTCAGCCCTACTTGAATTCAATTGAGTTGATGATCACATCCGCAGAATATCTTTGCTTGTAATGTAATTTTCTATTATTTTCTACTAATATAAACTTTTCTTACAAATATTTGCTATATCTGGCAATTCGATTGATTAAATAAATAATACCTCTGTTCACTTCTTTTAAACTTTAGAGAAAATATCACTCCACTTTAACTTAAAATATTGTGCCAAATTTATAGGTGACTGCCGATGCATATATTGCTAGAGGATGTGCGTATCGGCAGTTTCTAAAAATCAAAATAATGTTGTAGTTAACATCAAGACTTAAACGAATTGCGCATGGTAAAGAGTTTATGCTTATTGATCTCTGACTAAGAAATTTTATTTCTTATCTTTTGGCTTATTGGTGTTTGCAAAGAACCGGATGGGACACTATGTAGGTTAAATAGTGTTGATCTAAATGGTCAGAATATGTATAAAAAAATTAAAGAGTAGAATAATTAAAAGAATTCACCGCATAAAAGACTAGACGCTGAGAGTCATAGCGTACACACCGCTATCATGGCTGAACAAAGAAATTTCATGTGCACCTTGACAGACTAGAGAATGTGTCCGTGCTACTTTTGTGAATTGCCTATCTGTTAGTGTTAGACCAAGAAAGAGAGAAGGTGTGGTCTATCATAGACATTTTATCAATCATTCGAAGACTATTTGTTTGATAAAAGTCAATCCAGGTTTAAATCCACGAAAGTTTTGTCGTACTATCTGTCAAGATGTCAGGGGTATTGTGCGCCAGTTAATTGAAAAGGCGGAGAGACCACAACGAAACTCTTGGAGAGGAGTAAGTTGCTCATTCTCAAACAAGGCGTAGTTAATGAGTATACAGAAAGTCACTGAATTGTTTCACTTTGGTACGTCTTTAAATGCGAGTTGGCCAACGGGAATATCGGGCAAGTCAGTGGTCATGTGATCGTCGACTTCGTCGGTGCACTTTCAGTGTTGGAAATAACCATCCGAACTGAATTAGACTGGTTACATAGGCTGTGACTCATAATCCGAAATCTTGCTCTCATACTTGCTTCAGAGACCTTTAACTAACTAATTGGTTTAAGTCTAAAAGCGTCAAACTACTGCTGGAAATTTGAAATAACAATCGTATTTTGCGAAACAACTAATCAATCTCGTGTTAAATCGAATAAATGCTTGTATTTGAGTGTTGCGAACTGACAGCATTTTGACTTCCAATTTTGAAATCTTGCATGTGGATAAATTGAAATATAAATAAACGCCAATCCAATCAATTCGCTCTTATGGGGGAGCATGGAATATACAGAATTTGCTTGCCTCATTGGAGATACGATTTATTAGTGATCTGGCAAGTGCGATGTGCATACGGAACCCACCTACTTTCGGAAAGCCGAAAAAGGGCGAAATTCGAGATTCGCTACCTACCGACGCATACGCCGTCAATGAAACTAATTAAGTGCGGTGACAAAATTTGACTTTCTCATTCTGATTGGTCCATGGCGCCACCTCTCCACTCAAGGTGAGTGATTGACATTGCCCTAGAATATAACGAGCTACCAAATCGATATAATTGAAGGTTGTTTACTCTCATTCCAATTCGCTGTGTCTGAAGCAAATGAATGATTGACAGTAGCCTAAAAATCCAAATTTCGAATTCGATAAATAGCATTCCACCTTTTAGAGAATCACATGAGCATATGCAGGGGGCCACCCATTTACTCTTTCAGTGCAAGTTTGCGTAGAAATGAAGTTTCCTATCTCGGTCCCATCTTGAGCACATTTAGATCAAGTAAAAATATCGAAAATGTTAAGGATATGACAAGATAGAATGAAAGTCATTATGATCAATTTGAGTAAAAAGGAGTGTTCCGGGGGTGATAGTAAGGTACTGTCATGCCACATGCACCACTACCCTCTCTTACCGGTCTCCTTTCTGGTGGGCTCTCGTACTGGACCATAAAGCTTACTATCTCAGCCTACTCAATATTCTTCTTTAAAATCATTTTTGTGCAACTCGGCATAGTCCGTACTTCCAGTAAATCTTAAATGTGAATTTCTTAATAGTTGTTATAGTAATATAATTGACAGTCTGAGGAATTTAGAATGTCATTCAATCTGAAGTGCCACTCATTGCATTTTGCGGTGGTCTCTCAAACGGTTAAAAGAAGGTACAAGGTACCTCGAAAACTCATTTCTTTATTGAGTCATCGGTTAAAACTCTATGAGACTGACTCAATCGGATCAATTGCTATTAGTACTCAACTTGAATAGACATAAGTGCCGGAGACAATGGGACTGTCAATTCGGCTTTACTGGGGTGTTTAATCGATAATATTTTTTTAAAAATAGATTTTCGTTTCCCATTGTACCATATTTCGAAAAAGCAGTCCCTATTCCACGAGTTGTCATGGCAAAATAAGTCTTATTAGAATACGACTTCAAAATCCGGCGTTTGGTTAATCTGATAAATGAACTTCGATGCCAGTTCAAATGGCAAATGCCTAATACAAGTCTGATCTCCTGCACTGTGGGCCGATGGTATCAACGTTGACATTATGATGTATTGAAACGTGTCTTACTAGTTACAGTTCCACTTCAATTAGATTTCGTGAGGTTGCTATGAAATTACTAAAGGTTTATGTAAACACATAAACATTCTTAATGTAGTCAGATCGAGATCGTGAAGTGCACAACGCTATCATGGCTGAATAAAGAAATCTTATCTGCACTCAGGCATATTCGAAGATACAGGGCGCAACTTGTCATGTGGGGAGCTAGCCTCTCAACTAGCCGCAAATTATCAGTCCCGCCACTTTTTAATCAATCTTTCCAAGTATTTTAATGGATAATCTCCGTAGCTGACAAATTATCCCTAATAAAGGTGTTCCACACAGTACGTCTATTCCTTCTACTTTGTAGAATGTGGGGAGGGGGGGGGGGGATTTTGCCAAGAAGATAACTGAGGATAAGTCAAGGCTTGTTCGTGTGGCGATGCATTGCCTCCACGACAATATGTTTTGATCCGTTATTTTACCTACAACATTGTCGTGTGCCATCTTAATTTCGATTGTCGATATTTTTTGTATGAACAGCAAGTATTTCCTCTAAAATTTCTTATCCCAATTTACATCTCAAATAATCTGCTAGATAAAACATGGGAAGTAATGGCAAAAGTTTTATATTATGTACGGGAGTTAGGAAAGATTAAACATGAGTCTAATCAATAGTCACACGAAAATGGCTTATTCAGTAGCCATATGCGGAAGTATAAAGTATAGACAAGTAGATGATTAGGAACTTAGTTATCTGGCGTGATTCCCAGATGTATGAAGTCACAATGTATAGGAGGCGACGTAGAGATATTTTAAAGGCGTGTCACATCAGTTGAAATGCTTTAGAATACAGTCAAAAAGTATGAAAAGGGGTATTTTTTGCATTATTCACAAAATACATCAGGGGTCAACTTTTATTCAACTGAGATTCAACTGTACTGATTTGAATTCAATTTTAATTTAATATCACTCTATTGACGCTCTATTTTCTTCCACTTTTTCATCATTTCACTTTAATTCCTTTGATTAACCGTTTTCACGTACGAGGAGTTGTAAGTACGTATTATGGAAGTCCAAAAAAGTGTGTGCTGACGAAAATTTCACAGCACAATTTAAAAATACTTAAAGTTAGTCAAAATATATGCTTTGGGAGAACTTCTTTCAGAAGTTTTAAAGCAAAATAGAACTAATTGATGTTAGAATTATCCTATCAAGATAATCTATACTTGAAAACCAAACAATAATTTATAAAAATCTTTAGAAACATCTGATATTCTTAAATATATTGCCATCAACTTTGAATTTTTTAGTGTTTCGATTGGCAGATGAGGTAGAGGTCATTTCGACTTCTGCTGGGGATGTCTGGGCTTCCTTCAAAGGTTTCGAGGTTGCGTTCAATTATCCGCCAAAATGGAGGCATATTTGGTTCTCTGAGAACGTTGTTTCGGTAAGATGAATTTAAGCATTTATTTTTAGAACTGATGAATTAAAGGATGGAACATTGGTCGGAGAAGATTATCTTGGGAATAAGTATTATGAAAATAATCGTTATTTCATTGGTAATCTGTATATTATTCTTGTTAACAAGCTTAGGTCGAAATCGTTGGGTAATATATGGTAACCGTTTTGGCTGGGATTATGAGGCATCACAGGTACCTCCAGAATGGTAAATTTTGCTCATATTTTATTTACCGTATAGGCATCGTTGGCTTCATAATATGACTGATGAGACTCCGATCACCAATCCACCAGAACGTAAACCCTGGATGCTTGATCATCAAGAAAATCTCACTCTCGAGGAGCCCAACAAATATGTTCCTTACTCCACAACTAAACCTAAGATTGAGGCATGGAAACCAAAATAGCATAGCACACTACAAAGGTAGTGTAAATATTTGTTAGTAATACTTTGGAATATAACATATTTTCCAAGTCACCTTTCTCCTTTTTATTTGGCTTTAACTCCATCGCCTGCTTGATTTTAACAGTAGGTGTCTTATTTAGCTGATGGAAGAGATTAAGCTCACTCCATCTGCTTATCAAACTATCATCACACATGCACTGACCCATGAAAAGGAGGAAATTATAGGACTATTATTGGCTGAGGAGTGTGAAGGCTATATTCAAATTTATGCGGCAAAACCGTGCACAAGAGCTAATAAGCAATTAGACAGAGTTGAAGTGAATGACATTGAGCTTGCTCGTGGAATTGAAGATGCGGATGTAAGTTTGTGGTAGTAACGGCCCCGATTTTGATAATATCTGCATTGTAGAAGCTTAAAAAAATATTGGGGAGAAATATCGCGGTTCTTGGATGGTACCATTCACATCCTCATATTACAGTTCATCCAAGTTCTCATGATATTACCGCGCAGCGAGAATTTGAGAGTCTTAACCGTAAATTTTTCGGTATCATCGTGTCTGTATTTGATGGAGAAAATGAAAAGGTACGCACGCTAAATCGTACGATTTTCTGATTTTCAATTCAAATAATCACAAGCGAAACTATATTTCAGCAAGGGGAGATTAGGATTACAAGTTTTCGTTCTAATGGTGAAGCTTCAACTAAATTGACCATTGAGCCAATTCAACTCGACCCATCAACAAGATCCAAGTTATTTAAACTTGATGTGGAAAATTGGTGTTCCGTCCCCCGAGTTTTTTTGGAGGAAACCGAATCTGAACCAGTGTATGGTAAGGAAACAGTTATTCTATAGCATGTATTTATCTTTAGATAAAATTGAAATAATCAACCAACTGTGCACAAAAACGGTATTCCCCATGGCTACTTGCTGCAACGCATTAAATGAAAAACTACAAGCACAGTAACAAAATTAAAGTGCCAGACTTTTGATTTCTCTATTTTCATCTATTCCATATTTTAAGATAATAAATAAAAATTATTATTCAATATGTTTTCTACTCGTGTTTTTAGTTTTTATGATCATGCGAATGTCAAAATTTTCGTCTTCTTGTGGTTCATCAGTATCAATGATAAATAATAGGAATATTACTTTCTTGAGCAAGTAGTATCTGCTGAAAAGTTGAGTAGACCCGGAGACTGCTCCCAAGGCAAGGAAGTGGATCTGTGCGGTGGCAATCGAACTTGAATCAATGGAATACTTTTATGCCACCATCTGCTGCAAAATTGTTAGAGTCCATTTGCTAAGTCGGTCAGTCACTGTCAAGACTGGATAACCGGTTCTGATAAGTGTATTCCCAGTTTCTCTGTGTCCCATTTTAAGCAGTCCTTCGGTTGAAGACTCAAAATTTTAGGAAATGGGAGAACAGGTAGTAAAATGTTGCGCTTTTCTCTATCAGCTGCTAAGAGGAAAAACAAACCAATGGTCCTACAATGGAGTCCTGGACACTGTGGCATTAAAGGCAATGAGCTTGCTGACGCACTTGCTAAGCAGGGGACAACAATTTTGCAAGGAATAGACCGACCGATGTTTTTTCACACAATAAAGACCTTAATCAGGATAGTATTCAAGACCTCAAGGTGCAACGAACTTAAAGCTCGAACAAAGGAGAAACAGTGGACAGTGGCACTCTCCGACATAGCCGACTGGTTTAGACTACGTACCGGACACGATTGCCTGGCAAAACACCTTCACAGATTAGGAGTATACACTCAACCAATATGTCTCCTATGTGATCTACAGGAGGAAATGGA